TTATATTACTTTTTATTTTTTCGACGAATACATTTTTATATCAGTTTATGTTAACCAGACTATAGGTTTTAAATAAAACTATCTTTTCGGATTTTTTCGCGGATTTGATTGGGAACCAAAAATCCAAATAAATCCGAGAAAAAATCCGAAAAGATAGTTTTATTTAAAATGTCAAATATTCGCGTAAATCTAAGAAACCTACATATAGGTAAAAACAACAACCAAGGGATACAAATACTATTATTATATTAATATACTCGTATAATTATTCTATACTAGCGACTCTCCCTCGCTTCGTTTCGGGATCGTCCCTAGACAAAACAAATCTATCCCACGGGAACTATACATATTTCCGAGATACAAAGGAACCTATGTACTTCCCCCCCCAACGTGCGTTCACCTTGTCGTGGTGGGGGGGCTCAGTAGTAGTAGCGAAGCTAAGAAACGCACAGGGAGGTTGCCCACTTCGGTGGGCGGTGGGAGGTGGCCCCCTTCGGGGGGCGGTGTACCTTGCGGGTTGCTCCTGGTACTTCTCTGATAGCAGAGTGGACCTTGGAGCAACCCCATGGTTGTGGTGGTCTGCTTTGGCAGACCTGCCGTCGGGGCGTCGTAGTTGAATGCGTAAGCGATCCTGCGACGCCCCATTAAGACGGGGGAAGGTTTTGTTGGGTTTTAGTGGGTAGTACTGGCTGTACTACGCCGGTGAGTCCCACACGTCGTGCGTAAATGCATTTCCCAACGTTAAAAAAAAAAGAAAACCTATGTACTTTTATTATACTCTGATATTTTCATGTGCGAATTATTTCTAACATGATTATCATATGTCTTATGGTGAAGGAAAACATCGTGAGGAAACCTGCATGTCTGAGAGAACCTAGCAAGTTTTCGAAAGACATGTGAAGTCCGCCAACCAGCACTTGGCCAGAGTGGTGGACTATGGCCTGATCCCCCTCGTATTGGAGGGAGGCCCGTGCCCAGCAGTGGGACGTTAAAAAGGGCTGAATACAATACATGTACTATTTCAGACTATAATCTATCTCTATGCCAAATTTTATCTAGATCCGTTCAGCCGTTCTGGCGTGAAAGAGTAACAAACTTCCATCCATCCATCCTCACAAACTTTCACATTTATAATAAGTATGGATACCTTCTAATTATATATAAATAGCCAATATTTGGATTCAATTATAATAGTTTTAGGATTTATAAACTGATTTGAATGATATATTAGCCCATACATACGAGTACATATCTCAATATGTCGCATGAGACGTCAGCCCCCAATTCATTCACCTTAATCCGCAACAGAGACGAGTAGGTAATGAATCTCTTTTGATCCCATTTGATACATTCCTTGTTCAGTAGTTCTAATTAAATACTGATAACCGTTCTTTAATTCTGTGTAGATTGTTTCAGATCAATTACTAATTAAAATTTTCATTCAGTGTACATAGGTAAACATAATATGTTATTAATTACTAGCGGCTCACCCTCGCTTCGCTCGGGTTCGCCTCTAGAAAAACACTAATAGAGATCTATTAGTTCCCACGGGAACCGTTCATTTTTCCCGGATGAAAAGTAACATGTTGTTTGACCGGCAATATAAGGTATCAGAATGTTAAATTTAACTAAATTAGGTGCATAAGTTGTATAAGTTATAATAGTTTTTTAACTATCCCACGGGAACCATTTAATTTTCCGGGATAAAAAATATCTAAGACGTTATCCGGGGATATAAGGTACCACCATGCAAAATTTCATTTAAATCGGTCCAATAGATTCGGAGATTAGCCCGTACAAACAGACAGAGAAACCAAAAAATTGAAAAAAAACTGGATTTGTTCTATTTGTCTTCTTACATCCCCCTGACTCGCGATGGCTTATTATTAGCGTATTTCATGTATAACTTTGGTGTTTCTATACCGATTTCTATGATTCTTTTTATGGCATAGTTTATAATGTTAACTTTTTTAATTAGGGATGACTGAGAGTGTTATAAACGTAAGAGTAGACAAATATAAATCAGAAAGCTTTGAACTGCTAAGCTATCGGGAGTTACACGTGTTATTGTGAGTCAACCATAAAAGATAGACATATGCTGTCGTGGGATATTTTTTATATAATTTTAAGAAGAACATTTCCGTCATACATGATTTCTGTGTAGTTTTAACCATTAAGGTTGCACACGCGACGGAAGCTTAAAAAATGGAGTAACTTCTCCCGTTTTCCCAACATTTCCCTTCACTGCTCTGCTCCTATTGATTGTAGCGTGATGAAAAGTATACTTTAACCAGCTCAGGAGTATGAAAAATAATTGTACCAAGTTTCGTTAAAATCCGTCGAGTAGTTTTTGTTTCTATAACGGTTATACAGACAGACAGACAGACAGACAAAAATTTTACTGATTGCATTTTTGGCATCAGTATCGATCCCTAATTACCACCCTAATCACCACCTGATAGTTATTTTGGAAATATATTTCATGTACAGAATTGACCTCTCTATAGATTTATTATAAGTATAGATATAGAATATTATTATAATATCGTCTTTGTTTCGCATATGACAAAACAAAACCTTACGTTCACTTCTACTATATAATTTATGTACTTAACCTTTGGTGCAATATTTAAAGCCTGTGTAATTTTGTAAAAGCCTCTTGAAACAGAAATACATTAAGCTAGTTATGTTATTTTATAATTACACATTTGAGATTGAATAAATATTAGGAAATAAAAAGACATAAAAACAATGACGATTTAATATTTATATTATAATAAAGTGTAATCGATATTCAACACATAAACATATCGGAAGAGCGGAGTCATTTAATCTTTATTGTTAGGTATTTTCTTTTAAAGACAAACACTAGTCGTCCGCTTTTACAATTAGTTTATGCTTATTTTTTATTATTTACTAACTTAAATTTTTAGCGTAGCTAAAAATAATAATACTAATACTTATTTTGTTCCGGGTGTATTTTTTGTCTTCTGACGAGACGAAAAAGTGGCTCTATCCGTAAAGATGACGACGATTATTATTATTAAAATTAAAAACATCTTGTAATAAATGACTGAAAATATTCAATAATCTCGTTAAAATTTACCTAAATCACGTTAAAATCATGGTATTTTACTGATAGCTAATAAACACAGACGTATATTATGTATTACATATTGTTATATTATTTTTATATTGTAAAAATCAATTTAAAAGTTCATAAATGTATATTATAAATAATATAAATTCAATAATTTTTATATTTAAATTTAATAATGCTATTTTCATTGACTCGTAATCAAAATTTATATTTTCCATATATTTTTAAGTAATTTTTTTTTTGATTGCACATTTGGTAAACAATAGGATACAATGTAAATAGCAATTGAGTAAAGCATTATATTGTAGATTGTAAGTGGTTGGAAATACTTGCATATTCATAACGAATATTGGAAAAAACACAATGAAAATGCCAGTGTATTGAAACAGATGCTTTACTATTTGTTCAGTTTACTTTTCGGACGGCCAGCGATCATATTTAAATAAAACGATGTATTTTATTTTCACATTTTTATTTCAGACATTCACATTTAATCAGTGGTAACTAAAACATATCACAATGTAAACAAAATGACTTAAAATTAAAATTAATCTATCCAAATGAAAATAACAAAATCAACTGAATAAATAAAAATAACGATTTATAAAATATATTAAGAATCCAAGCTCGATTGCAATATGTTAAATTAATATTTATTCGTATAAATTGACTAATAGTTTATATAAAACTCAGACGCCTAATTCAAATGTGAGAGTATTAATATTATCACAGTGTTCGGCGATTATACAGCGGTAAGAATGTTACTAAAATTATAAATATAAAAGATTAAAATTTCCCTTATAAGTATTTTCCAAAAATGGAGTACTGACCTCTAGACAGAAATAATTATGATATATCTTTCAGTCTGTACCGTTCGTATGAATATGATGCTTTTGATATTATGATATGCTAAATGGTATTTTTATTACACTGGGATAAGCTACTTTGGGGATTCCTAAGTGATAGGAACATTCATAATAAAATTGTAAATATGTAATAGTTCATTTCAAAATTTAAAACGCCTTTTGGAAATCTGAGCTCCATCTCATTTTCTTTATTATTTTAACTTTTTTTTTTAAATTTTGCGTCACCTGCTAAATAAAATTACAGTAGATTTTTCTGCACGTAAATTATTTTATATTAGACAAGATATTTTTCCAAAGCTTGGTTTCATTTTTGACAATGCCATCTTAGATTTAATTATGAATAAAGAATTTTTCTAATTTACTTATTTGAAATGTATTTTTTATAAGCTTTGCATCTACATTGCCCTTACTAATAATGCCTGTACTGTTGTAGAGTTATATTATACATTTTATTTCATATCAAGAGTCACACGCGTTTTTTGTCGTTCACTAAGAATTGCATATTTTTAAAAGCCATTTCCAGATTCTCGGATATAATATAAAGGAAAGTATTTTTCAATATTTCAATCGATGACAATATTATTGATTTTTATTTCCAACATTTTTAATTTTATTTACGTAATGTTTGAGGAAGTAAAGCTTTCTTCCTTAATAGTAATAATGGATATTATGAAATAATGTGTAGCTTTCGTTGTTATTTATGAGATTTGGCAGTGGTGTCATTGCTTTAAGAACTTCAAATTATCTATAGTAATTTATAGTATCGTTAAATAGAGAACTGTGTTTTTAGTTTGAGGAGATTTATCTTATTTTTTCAGGAATTATGATATTTCTCCAAAAAAACTTAAACATTTATCTAGATTATTATACAGCAAAAGTATTTTTAATATACACATTAGCTTCTCTGCTATTACAAAAGTTGCCAAAGCCGGCAAATCAGTTAAATATTTTGAGATTTTTGAAATTACAATCTTTAATAAAATAATGCATCGCTTATTTACCTAATTTCATAATAAATAGTTTAAATTGAGTTAAACAGAGGTTTTGCTAGAGGCGTTAATGTCGCCGATACTCTTGACGCGTCTATGTCGCTTTTGTCTAATGGATGTGTCATCGCTAGTCTTCGCTGGTAGCGGGGAACTAACTCGATGAGCGTGATCTGCTTTGTGGCCGTACCTGTGATAATTAATTACAATTAGTATATTGTAAGTAGATATATTTGAGTCTAATTTAAATAACTTTGAAGTAATTAGTGGTAACACAATATCAAAGTACATAATACAATAATTTATGATAATATTCTCAGTAAATACAAGTATTTGTTGATATACTTGTATTTACTGAGAATATTGATATATTTGTTAATATACACTTACTCGTATATCATAGCATTGTTATGTGTTTAATTAAAGGAGCTTGCTGAATTAATTTTGTTTCGTTAGATAATTATTCAAGTGTAGCTATATTATTCAAATCATTAAATGATTAATTAATTTCTTATTACTTCGAAGATTCCTAGTAGATGCGTGCGTGAACACACACGTACTCATACAAACTTTCGCATTTATAATACTTGCTCGATCTTAAATACTGTATACTGTATAGCTTACCTATGGGTTATACTCGCTTCCTTAATATCATTAAGCCGTTGTAGACTATCTCTGGTCGATACACTCGATTGGGAATACAGACTGAGCGGCGTGTATATAGGTTCGTACTCTTGTAGTGTTGGCGGCGGAGCGTACGTCATACTCAACTGCGATAGCGTACGCACTGCGATCGGTGGGGAGTACGACATGTACGGTTGAGTCAAACTCAATACGCTTGAAGTCTCGCTTGAACTTGATGGCGATGGTCTGTCGTGTTTAGGTTTTAGTACCCCTAGTGCCCTTGTTATAGATCCCTGAAAGGGAATTTATTAATGTGACATTTTTGCTTTATTTAGTGCAGAAAAGTATTACTTCCGTATTAGTAGTGCATATCAGTTGGTAGAGGCTCCTATACCCACGTTTGTTTTTATAATAAGTACAAATATTATTATTGTGTTGAAATTATAATAATGAAATGAATATTTAATTACGTTTCTACTAACTACAAAATATGGTAAACCAGACAAAAATAGTACCCGTAAACTATGTCTTCTAGAGTCAGCTGTAAAGTCAATTCCTGGTAAGCCCGTAGCAACTGATCTCGAGAAAGGTCGTCCCAACATCCTTATTTGGTGTCCGAACATATTCCTGTAATTTTTTAGTATTTATTATGGCATCCGCTCCGTGGGTACAAATTTGAGAAAACATTGCAGACAGAAATAGCCAGATAGCGTTCAGCATTTTTATCTCTCTTCTAAACCACTCCCTCAAATTTGTACTAAATTTTTAAATATTTGCTAACACAAAAAGCAAACATGCATTTTCTATTGAGATGTTGAAATAAAGTAATTATTTACATGTATTACATGTATTATTTATATTTGACACTCGTTATGATGGAAATGGTTCATTATTCAAACATTAAACGTCGAAGAGCTATAAGAATTTAAGAAATTCGGCATAGACACCAAAAGCATGATGCACTTTACTTAATATATAATACGAATCATGCTAATTGTGTACAAATATGATGACAAAAATGGCCTAAGAGAAAACATAAGGAAAATTCAGAAATTGAGATTACAAAGAATAATACCGTAGAACTTCTAAAAATGTCTTGGGTTAAAATATAACATGTGTACTAGACTTGTTACTGGACGTGTTGGCATATATTACTATATATAGAAAGGTACAATATGCAAAAATTTGAATTATCTGTTCTAGAACCAATACAATCAGTTATGTACAACAATGGAACAATTACTGGCGATCGGAATTTTCGACTGACGCAGCGTGAGCTTAGCTCAATAGTCCGCGCGATATTTTTCTTTGTAATAAATATGAAAACAACAACCATAAATTACAATGTCTAAAGACAAGCATATCATTGTGTTTCAAATTAATAAGTTACGTATGTTCCAAAATAAATCAACCAATATTTTATGGAAGAAAGAAACTTTATACGGATAGAGTGGTCAAAGCCCGAAAAGTGCGAACTAACTGCTTCTACCAACGCTCGGATATAGTCGGGTTGAACTTGGCGAGTAGTTAAGTGCATTTGTATCTGTGTACGCTCTCATATACTGTAGGTACGTAATATTAATCATATCATGTTCTATATATGTATATAATTTTTTATGTACTTGGAATTCCCTTTTTATATGCTGAACCAATAATTTAATTAGCATAAAATTTATACTATATACACAATGAAATTTTCAAAGCATTTTCAATGATATTAAGATAAAATCACCATTTTAGTATAAATATTTAAAAACTTTTTACTATAATTATGCAAACTCTATTTCGAAGATTACAAAACGGATAAAATTATCGATTCATTATTTATTATTATTAAAGTTGCATATATTTCAAATTGTTAGACTAATTACTGTCCCGAACCATATCCTTACGTCTGCAGAAGCCGGAATGATGATGACAGAGAGGCATTCATGACGTATCCATAAAATGAATTACCGTTTGTTTTCGATGCAAGGATCGCCAAGTTAGGGATGATGGTCAAGAAAAGAAATTGGCTCGATATCCCTTAAGGTTTATCTTTCTATAAGGATTTATTCACATTTATATGCCAATCGATAATGTTACAGTAAAACTAATACACCGTTCTCAGCTTTACAATATGAATGTATACAAGTCAAAAACATAGTTATCTTACAATATTAGTAAATACTATTTATTGTTATAATCCTAAAGCTATTGTGAATGGTTCTGTTTTTATTTCTAATAATATTGAATGAAATTTTAATGATTTATTATGTTTTAAAATGTGTAATAATTTGAAATGAAAGATCGGAATACTTTGAAATTTACTTCGTAATGGGACGTACTTCACCCCCTAGAGTAACATAAAGCATTATATGCCTTTATGTCCTACTTCGTATGTTATACATTGACTAAAATTACGAAATTGATCGTTTTGAATAACATTAATGTGACAAATCTTAACTACGCATTAAAAAGTTCTGGGGGCACATCGAATCTAACATTGACAAAGACGAAGGGCGATAGATATTATTTTGAAGATTCCATTACGAACTCTCGCTATTTCTTTGCTATGAGCCACGATTCCTACTATAACAATCAGTCTTCACCGCTCGTAAAGTTATCACGCATAAAATTACAGAGCAATTTGAAGATACGACTCTAAAAAATAGGGATATCGCGAACGCAAATTCTGTGTAAAAATAGCGCTTTACTATTCGAGGACTTTTTACATAGATACAGAATACAGATTGTAAAAGGACATCGAAGCGACATTTATTTTCTGAACGATAGCTTTTTGATTTTTTTGGATTTATCTTTGTTTTGTGGACAACATGGATGCTCGGGCAGCCTCCACTTGCAGTTCTTCCACCTGGCAAAATATCGTATACCTGCAGGATTGCACCTCATATTATAATCATCTACAGGCATTGCGCTTGTGTCGGTGACTATTCTTTTATGCTTCTTTATAGACTCTCATTTGTTAGTTGTGATTGTGTCATGTATTTTGTTGGTAAAAATATTGCATTCGATAAATTAATAATGAATATCGAATAAATTATCTTTTCTCTGAACTAGCTATTGGGCCGATGAAATTATCGCAATTTTGCAATTTTGATAAGTTATGTAATGTTAAGATTTAAATAAATGCTTTATAGAATATTCTACTCTATCTTACTATAATTGTCGGAATATCTACCTTGCGGGAATGACTAGAGCGTCAAATTCAGCTACCAAATGTCTTCGTATTATACTCTTTGATGGCGGAATCCCCAGTGCTGTAGCCATTGTTTCTCCAGTGAATGATGGCTCTAAGACTACCAAACCACCATGCACTCCGCTGTCTAAAATAATAGTCTTAATTTAAATTTGATTCTTTTCTAGAAAAGTCATATATGAAAAATAAAATGTTTTAAGAGATATGTTAGTTTACCTTTGAGATTATCAGCGAATTCGCCTAAGTCGATATTATGTGCCCAGCGAATGAACCTTTGATTAGTCCACACAAGGGGATCGGCATCTACATTTTCGCATTGATGACGCCTTACCGCTAAAGCCTAATGTTAAAAAATAAACTAAAGTAATATAAAAATAAAAGGACACATTTGAGTGACATTGTAGTTTTAAAGTAAAAATGTGCTTTGACCTATACAGTCTCGTAAAAATGAGAAAAATTAACCAATACTCGACGGTTTTACTAATGACATTTCAAGAGTTTCACTCTAAACTTCCTAGCTCTATTATCAGATTATTTCGATGATATTATGTAATTTAATTATCTATATAGATAAATAAAATTAAGATGTCTGTTTGTAATGTCAAAACAACAGCTCTTTACTAAACACGTATTATAGTATATACGTATTATAGTATATTCGGTACATATAATTAAAAAAAAACACATTTTTTTGGCTGTCTGTTTGTTGCGGCTAATCTCCGAAACGGCTAGACTGATTTTGACGGGCTTCTTACTGGCAGATAGCTGTTGTTATAAAGAGTAACTTAGGCTACTTTTATTTAAAGAAAAGGATTATGGTTCCGCGCAAAAAAATTAAAATCCATGAAATTGCAAACAAAATCCGCGCAGCCCCGGGACGCACCCGAGCGAAGCGAGGGTGAGTTATGTGTAAGTTATGTCATGAGGGTACATGATATAATTTAATGGTAATTAACGGGAGGTTACAATTGACTTCTAAGGCTCGATTAGAAAATATTGAGTTAATAAATAAAAAGGATTTTTTTTTGTTGGTATGCGCATCACTTGAGACCGGTTGGACCGATTTGGATATTTTTTAAATGTTATATGGTAAACACTGTCTGTGGAAAAGTTGTCCGGAAATAGGTAATGTCGGTTTTTTTTTAATATTTTGTATGAACTCAATTATGATCAAAAAAATTGAAATTTGGACCAAATAACATGGGCATGGTCAGCTAATAAGTAAGAAGGCCGTATATTTTGAGAGATTTGCGTAAAATAATAGCTATTCAAAGACGTTATAAAATACTTCGAATATAACTCTAATATTCACAGCAAATTATTAAAAATGGCCAAGATAAATGAGGACAAATTTTGTTCAGTGTCACTGAGGAATTCAAAGAGGGCTTGAATAAGAAATGATTAATGGTGCCACCATTACCAGGGTCGGAGATACACGAAACACTTTATAAGGCCAAAACCACATTTAATGCAAACAACATTGTTTTAAATTAATTTACTAATAGTAGCTTCTAAATAATGAAACAGACCTTTATAAAATTAACTTTATAAATAAATTAAAACACGAAAAACTAAACTATTCTTTAGTAGGAAAAAGAGGTTGAAGGTAGAAAATGAATAAATTTTATCTGATCATCTATTCTTATATTATAAAGAGGAAAATTTTGATTGTTTGTTTGTATCGAATAGATTCCGAAACTACTGAACCGATTGAGATGGAATTTGGTATGAAGATAGTGTTTGAGACTTTGGTAAGGACATAGGATAGTTTTTATCCCGGAAATCATCCTTTAAGGAGGTGAAAATGGGGGTGAAAGTTTGTATGGTGAAACAACCTAGGGAAGAACCCGAGCGAAGCGACGGTGAGTTGCTAGTGTATAATAGTCGGGTAATCGGTGTTGCATTTTGCGAACGTTGAGGTTAGTAAAAAGAAAACTCGTTTTATAAAAGGCGTTATCATATAAACATGGTAGTTTTTAAATGGTGTATGTAGAGCGTCCTCGTATTTGCACAGTTCACATTTCGCCTGGAGACTGTTTTAACTCATGTTTGTAAACGCCCTAAGAGTCTTCAGTACAGTCATTTGTTTATTTTTGCCTTATCTTTCTTATCTTATCGCAAAACGAACAGGCTGTTTATTTGATGAATTAAACAGATTTAAATGACGCTATATTTTTTAAGTTAAACATAAATTTTAATCAAGTGTCAAGTTATAGACAAGTAGGTGGTATGTAATCAAAATAACTATATACAGCAGGTAATTATGATGGTGGCAGTAAATACTAGTAACCGAGGGACATAGCCTAGCTTCAGCTGTGTAAATCAGACTACGCTATGTAAGCAGGACGGCTAAGTAATGAGATTTATTCCTGGAGACTGACACACTTTACACTTTGGACTATCTTGTCTCTGTGATTACACAAAGAATAATTATAACAATTTTTTCTATTAAACCTTAAACTGTAACTTTTTTTAATTTTGTCGAAGTAAAATTTAAATCTTATTTTAAATATTTATCTTGTTAAAAGCGTAAGTTTACTTTAATGTCAAAGCTCTTAACTGCACTTAATCTTAGAAACGTTTCCTGTAATAATAATTTCAATATGACATGTTCAATTTAATATCATAAAGTATTTATTTTCGAAATCGGGGGCGTCTTTCTGTACTTACTTGTCTATCATACTTCATTATTCTCAAGAGATGTATTCCGTGAACAATCGATGCTTGGTGAAACTTTCTCGTGACACCGAGATACTTTTCTAACTCTTTCTTGCTGATAGTATCCAACATCCTGGCGTCAACCAAATTCGCCAAGAATGACTCGGCGTACTGTTGGTTACACGGTTAGTTACATACCTCTAATTTATTATAAAGTAAACATTATTTATATTAAAATTAGCATAAATATAATATTAAATTAAATTTGGTATAATTATCAAGTATGTAAGTAAACTAGAAATGTTATTTAGTTAAATGATTAAAACAGGCCAATTATTGCTTATAAATATTCATAGTTACAATATTTTTCATAGCTTCTGCTACTTGAAAAAGAATAAGCTCACGTGTTAGGACATAATTTTTATAAATATTTCGATACAAACATACATACACATATCATATAGTAAAAAAACTTACTTGCGACAGTCCCAAATCCGGCAACCATTCAGCGGCGACCCAAGCGTGAGACAGCTGGCCTATACTGGGGTTCCTCACGAGGTCTGGTCTCCTTCTCTCCTCGATGGCCAACCGCAACTTTTTCCTGTGCATCGGCTGACTGATCCCCAGGCCCACTTCTAAGTCGCTGTCGGTCAGCTCGAGCAGAACCTGCCCATTCAAAGCACGGATCTAGAAACAACCAGAACACAATATTTGACGCTTTATTGCGTCAACTTACTATACGTACTATTACTATATTGATAGTATTTTTTTTGCAAGATTGTGTTATATTTTTTATGAGAATATTGCATGTCATATCATGTTAAATTAATAAAGTATAAACTTTGTTTAATTTATAATAAGCCGTATAAAATATACCTAACCGCTGTTGAATATTGAACAGAAAACCGCATGATTAATAATGATACCTATAGCGATGTAAAGTAAATTTGGAAACCATTGACATTAACAGTATTTACTAATAATACATTAATTTTAATGTATTGCAAGTATTTTACAAACTAAGAGTGAGTAATAAGATTCTGAGTGCATATTAATTTGCGTTTTAATAATGTCTCGTTACTTCCCGTTCAGAGAACCGGGTAATATGATTTTCATATAAAATATGATGTACTCGATGTTGGCGGCGTTGTATGAAAAACTCGAGATACTGTCAGATTTACGAGCTGCGCGGCTTTAAAATGAATTTTCAATGTTCATATAAGTTATTATGGAGAGGCTATATTGTACTTTATAACATAAGTTTAGTTAATATGTTAAAAATATCTTAGATGTCTTACTCTTTATGCATGTTTGTTGACTCTAGATCTAAGGTTTCAGTCTAACATTAAAGTTACGAAGACGTTAGTATACTTTGCTACTTTACAAAAATGTCTTTACAAATCTTACCATTTTTACGTCGAAATAAATTAATTTATTATTTTTTTTATTACCTAAATTGTACTACTTTTAAGAACAATAATTTCATTACTACATTAATAAAAATAATTTATTAGGTTAAATTTATTAGTGTATATTTCGATCCACTGCATCAACTATAAAATGAGCTAAGTAAGATATTATGTAAAAAATGAATAATATATGTAGGTATTTAAGTTTAAAATGGCTGTTAATATTGAAGAACTTTTAGCCTTCTTAAAATTACGTAAAATAGCAATTTATACTATAAATGATAATAATAATATTATATGTATAATGTATATTATATAATTATACGATTATATAGTTTTTTTAAACATGTATTCAGTAAGAACTACTTAGACTATTCAGTAATATTTCAATTTTCAAATCAATTCTAGTGAATATAATTTCCATCCGATGTCTCCTTTCAATTTGTCTGCTTAAATAGTATTCAAATGGTTATTTCCCGATATGAAATAATTGCGCACAATATTAATAACATCACGAACCACGAACCGATAATAGACGTGGCTTGAATAAACATCACGACCATGAATTTATCAAAGGACGATTTTCTAACTTTATTTCCATATAAATGTAATGAACTTATTGTTGTGAATATTTAAGTAAATAAGTTTTTTCTTACTTATAAGTCAAAGTGTATTATAGAAGTAAATAGTTTAAAAAACAAATTACATTAAAATTTATTCTCGTATTTTGTACTTCGCTTCGATAAAAAATATTGCTTAATATCCACTAAAATATTATACACAAAGTCCCAATAGCCACATAAAATTGGTTTATTTTATCCCAAGAGAATATAAATAGTTATTACAATCTATTTTTTTGCATATTGAAGTTTTACTTTTTAAAGTCATTATATTAAATTTTTAATGACACCAATCTGTATATATACTTTTCTTTTTTTATAAAATATCTAGCGACTTACCTTCGCGTTGATTGGATCTCTAACCTATGTATGTGTTACTCCAAGTCTACTTGTGTAGTACATTTGAATTTTTATATTTATTTTTATATTATTACTTTTATATTTTTAATTTTTATATTATTATTTTTATATTTTTAATTTTTATAATATTATTTTTATATTATTATAGCCGTTTTAGCGTGAAAATGTAATAAACATTTATACACACGAACTTTAGCATTTGTATTGGTAATCCGATATAATGTTATTTCACGTACCCGTAAGTACATATGTACTCGTAGTATGATTTGTCTAATGAATGACCGAGTTAATCATTCGTCCATTAATTTTGCTGTGCAATTTATTTAATTACAGTGACCAAATAAACCTTATCCCACAACTACACAACAAACTGTGTAAAACAAATATTTAGTGGAAAGTTTTCACAGGTAATAATTATTATTTACATTAGCTAATTCAATGTTTTAAATTAGTTTTACCTATTTCCAGTTGTATTTTGTATTTTGGCCTGCATAACATGAATCATATATCTGATCTTGTTTTAGATTAACAATGTAGCGATATCACTACATGATCTCATGAATAAGGATAAAATATTATTTCTATTACGTAAGTTATTGTATAATTTTGTGGATTAACATTGTTTGAATTATCTTGGACTATTGTGACGCCCAAAATTTTAGTTTATGCCGTGATTTATAGAAAACTGTGCCCGACAAATACGCCTAAAAGCCACACAACAAAGAATTGAATTGAAGTAAATGAGAGCGTTTAAAATATTACGAATGACATGAAAGTTTCATTTAAAAAATCCAAATATAAGTAAATAAAGTATTAATTAAATGATGTGATGATAATTACTACCTACATAGATAGCAGGCTTAAACTTAGTCCCTCCACGACCGCGGACACGCCGGCGTTACAGTTATCAATAGATTTCTTCGAAATTTACCTAGAGGTGATAATACAGAATGCGTTATGATGATGATGTTCTCCTAGCCGATTCCGGTCACGGCGGCCAATCTCAATGAGATTAGCCAACTGCGCAGGAGATATTATAGTGCTCAAGTGTACGCGCAGACACAACATGCACTCTCTATTCCTGTCACTCTCATACTCCGGTGGGACGACCACTCGACACGACCGGTGAGAGTTAAAGCGCAGGACCGACGGCTTTACGTGCTCTCCGAGGCACGGGGGTGAAACACCGCCAACTTCCCAACTCCGGGCTATTACTGAGACTTACTATACAGAAAGACTCAATAACTAAACTTGGCCCGACCCGGGACTCGAACCCAGGACCTCCGGGTGTGCAGCCGTACATGCTAGCCACTACACCACCGAGGCAATATTACTTAATTAATTAATTACATATAGTTTAGGCCGTATTAGTTGAATATTGTAAGTTAATCTATCCTTATTATCCTTGCAAATCGTAGATAATATGTATATCGCCAAAGAATAATTGTAATTAAATTATTGAGAAAAATTATATAACAATTATCTGCTAAAAGGGCAATTAGTAGGTACACATTAATAAAATTAATTAGTACACTTTAACAAAGAATGTACATAAGTAACGCTATTATGGGATTGCGAGCGACATCTGCTCACAGTCCCATTTCAAGGTGTCATTTGTGTCACCTTGACGAGGGTAGTGAAGCGGCATCTCTAGACATTAGGTCTGTGCATGCAATTGTTTACGTTAACTGTTTTGATATAACATTGTTTTTATTGATTCACTTACATAAATTATAGGAAATAAATAAAAAGAACTATAAATAAAGAAATATATTTTCTATACATAAAATAGTCACTCTAACTATCTGGCAAGAAATTTAACGTGCGTGTGCGTACATACATCAGCCTATCGCTATCCACTCTTGAATAGAGTTCCTAATAAGCGTCAACCATTCCGATCCTATAAGGCGGCTAGCACGCATCCTCTGCCAGCTACCTTTCTTAAAATCTTTCTTAAGTACTCTTGCCTGTATCGGTTCCCGATGGAACAGGTCTCCTGATGGTCGATACTATCAAGAGACTGTCTGGAGATATGATCTACTCACTTTCATTTCAGACTGATCGTTGAATTTTATTTTTGACGAATAATTCTACTCGACTTCGAAATACATCAGAAAATTCCCAAAAATCATGCCATGTCCTTGTTCATTGTGTAACTGTGAATTTCTAGACCAACTCAAAGGTTCTTTAACCAGTGCATCTTACGGTCCTACCCGTATTGAAGTAATAAAGTAATTGCAAAATTAGTTTAATTACTTTTGTATTCAGCCTTTTTAATGGCCTACTGCTGGGCACGGGCCTCGCTCCAATACGAGTGCGATTAGGCCATAGTCCACCACAGCAGCCAAGTGCGGATGGGTGGACTTCACATGTATTTCGAAAACTTGTTAAGTTATCTCAGACATGCAGGTGTCCTCACAATGTTTTCCTTCACCGTAAGATAAGTGGTAATCATGTTGGAAATTATTTGCCCATGAAAATATAAGAGGTGCAAGACCCGGGATTTGAAAGTGCTTCACTTGGTTACCCAACCGAGCGCATTACCACTGCGCTACTACTGCCTCATTATTGCCTAATGCCTTAGTTATTTGTAACAATTAGTAACAATTTAGACTAACCTTGCCACTCTTCACATTGTCGGCTACAGCTGCTGCATATTGTGGCATGCCCAAAGCGAGTTCGAGCCAAGCAATAATAGCAGGTGCACGCCATCTTGACAGCGGAAGCGATGCCGCTTCACGTAATGCCGCCTCGCTGCCTAGAGGTGACCAGGCGCGGGTGCTTCCTGTACCGGCGTATACTGGCTCTACGAGTACACAAATAAGTAGTAAGATAACTCTCTCATTGGTCCAGTTCTAGTTCGTCTATTTTGACTATACTTGGTAATTACAAATATTTTCTAAAATTACTTAAGTTGAAACGTTTGTCCACTATTTTAGGTATTTAGTGTTTTGCGCTGTTGCTTTAGCACCGATAAGTCACTTATTAATTATTTTAGCTATTCTAACTTTGAAATTATACCTCTAATAATGTATGAAATTTGAAAAGTTAATTAGTAATTGATTTAAAAACCTATATACAAAAAATGATTCATTCTTTTAAATTTATTAAAACAGTGCCTCATCTTACCGCTTTCATGTCCACTGGTAACAGCGCTACCCGATTTAGTACGATGTCGGCTACGAGCGAAAACGCGCGATATTGAGCCCCAAGCAGAACCACGACCTCTCCCTCCTTTTGATCCGCTAGCACGAGGCCTCATACCCACGAGACCTGAATCGCACTCGCCTGGGCTCGATAATTGCTCTACTGACCTAAACATAGTTTTATTAATTAATAATAAAAAAATGATAAAACTTTATGTACTATAGTACTTAAAATAAAAGTGATAAGAATAAAAAATAAAGTGTATGTAAAAAATAAATATTTATCACTTTATAAATAATTTCTAAGATTGATTTTTATAAGATAATAAGCAGGTTAAAATGTACACCCATTATCAGATACACGGAAGTACCACGGTAATATTACATATAAATTACCGTGGACGTACGCTTAAGCTTATAAACTGTTTTTTTTTTAGTTTTTTTGTACTTCACATTTTTTATTTCTTTAGAATTAGAACTTTTAGCCCCTAGTACTTTTTATATATAGCTAATAGCTGTGTATTTCCTGTCTATACTTAATCACCAATTGCGTAGTATAAGTACATGAAAACATGATCATTTAACTTTATTTAATAGCATATGGTGTTTTTTTTTCACTTAATCTGCAATTGTATAGATGTCATTTAGTTTAATCATAGGTCGAAACTTTCGTTCATTTTCTAATTTTGTATGTCTGGTAAATAAGCAATATACAGATATGTATGATAAGGGGTTCAGATTAAGTAACAAAATAAATAACCATTATGTTAAATGGTACGTGTAACGATAAGAAAGGTCACATAGTTTGTAAGTCAGGCAAAACGGTCTAAGTTAAAACATTCTTGAGTTCCAGACGGCGCGGGCCCGGGCGGCGCAAAGTATTCATTTATCATCGATAATGTGTCTTGAAGCTAATACTCATATTACTTAAGGAAACTCGTTATAGTCCCAAAGTAATAACTTTCTGCTCTTAATTAAATATTCTATTTGAACTTACTGCTCATTGAGTATGTGAATATGTTTGTTTTTACAGTTGATTTCAACATATCTCATTAGACCATACCTACATTAATTTCAAAATGGGTTTGATTAAGATTATAGGCAAAGATAAATTATTATAAAAATATTTGAACTGAATGAAGCAGTTGTTTAACTAAACGAATAACTATTTATTCGAGAGTTGAAAAAGCCGTGTCATTATTATATAAGAAAACACGAAAAAAAAATATTAACTTTTAACATAAATATTTCTTTTATCATAAGCATAATCTATACTTTCAGAAGAAAATCTTTTACGATCACCTTATTTCACTTTACCTTTTTTCAACCATTAATATTTAAGTTGGTTGAAAGTTTTGCGACACTTAAAGTCTCGAGAGAGTTATTTGGTTAAAATCATCTAGATATAATGTGGTAACGTCGGGTCACCTCGTCTCGCCTTTTTGTCGCCTTACCTTAATGGTTTGGTGTCCAAAAGTATAAGAATACTATGTAAATACGTACTTTTTATACTATATTTATTTAAAAAAAGTCCTTCTTAGTAAATATTTTTATAATTTGTGTAATTTGTTACCTACTCAACAGAAAAACTTGTCAACTAACGCCAGCACGAATTTTAATAACATTTCGGATCCCTCTAAGGTTCTAACATAAAAACTTTTTAACAAAAAATAAAAACCGACTTCAAACAAAAGCACTAAAAAGTAAAAAATAACTGATTGGTAGTTTTCATTTACTATACATACCTAATCAAATATTACTTTTTAGTGCTTTTGTTTGAAGTCGATTTTTTTGTTAAAAAGTTTTTATTTTTCCCTTTTTAGTGTAGACAGTAGTATCGGTTAAGAAATGACGAAGTTCTGAGGTAACAAACATAAAAAAAAAAAAACTTAACATTTTTTCCACCTTTCAGTTACAAATATGGAATACTACTCCTAATTCTTATTTTTTTTTTATAATTTGACTAAAGCATTGTCTGGACTACGAGACATCTATCTACCGAATTTCAGCAATATAGCCCCTATAGTTTTTTACTAAAATAGATGTGACAGACGGACAAACGGACACGACGAAATTATAAAGGTTCCGTTTTAGTCTTTTCGCTATGAAAAAAATGGTTGTAAAATTAATAATAATTTAACCATCAAGATAATCATTTTATGATTTACCATTCACGTTAGAGCAAAATAATAATGTTCTAGAATTTTTTTATTATGTTAGTATTAGCTACTTCTACAACTAAACCTAAAACCTTCTGCAGCGTTACGAGAAATTGTCATTGTATGTATTTGGCTACGTTCAAGCGAACCTTAAACCATTTTATATTGTTCTATATAAACATATCATATACCTCATAATCTTTTTTAAATATTAAGAAAGAATGTAAAATATAATTTACAAAGTTAATATATTGTACAAAAGTAAACTGTTCGGTATAATTTTGTTCTTTGCTTCCGTTGTTAAAGTTAGTGTAGTAGTTATTTAACAAAATTATTATATCGTTTAAAAATAGAAAGTAATAATTTCGAAAGTCATAGCGAAAATTAAATTACTATCCGTGACATACAAACATTTTGTGTCTATATTCTTGTGGTTATATAATGACTTAAATTATCGTGTTTCTATCTTCTCTCAGAATAGACAGATACATAAATGTATATAAAAACAAACCCCAAAAAAATATAAACAAAGGACTACATAAAAATAATTATGAGTAGAAAAAACAATATTGGTTTTGATATAAATAATATGATTGCTAATGCCTTCAGCTAAAAATTACAATGTTATGTATTTGCCCCGAGGAAAGAGGATGCCCCTAGGATAGGAGATGGATGTTTTTATGAAAAATATATTACGTATTTAGTATACCATATTTTTGACAGACTTGAAAGATTGTGTACTTCCTGTACACAATTTGTGTGTATGTTACGCGATCTCTTTACCAATTTCATAGATTTATATTTTTTTTTAATGAAGGTGTTTTAATGGATGGTAATCTTAAGAGTTCCATAAAAATTAAAAAAATAATTCTACTCCTAATGGAAGAATAATTACTTTTAAGTTAATTTTGAAAAAATATTTATATATATTCTGTGTTACAAACCTCGACAGAGATCCAGCATCTATAGAGCGTGTGAAGGAAGAGCCACTGTTGTGTGGCGACAGTGTCGGGCTGCAGTCGCGCGGAGTGCTCACTGTGAATATTGTTAGTTGTTACCGCTTTCAGTCAAAACTTTGTTCACGTTGCGTTGATAACGCAACTATAATAGAAGTTAATATTTAGTTAGATATAACACAGAATTTCAATAAAATAAACACATATCATTATAAAGTTGTATTAATGGTTTTTGTAAGTTTACGATATAGATTTTAAAAGTATGTATTCTTAGATATTTCATATTTGTTTTGTAGATTGTTTTATTGCTATTTGTCATCTATTCTTCACCACCTTCAGGTACCTTCACACGCTGGACGGCGTTTATGAAAGATTACTGCATTAATTACTTAGATTTAATTATAATTATGACCTGTTGACAATAAAAAATAAACTTTATTAAGCACTATGGTGAAACAATACTGTTTACCCAACCTGAACCTTCAGATCTGCGGTTGTATGTGCTACACTGTCCCTTGTCCTAGTATCCCACTAATATGGTCCCATTAAATAATATTATAATATGCTATTATAGTAACAGAGTATATTTCTGAACAGAAGTAATTAATATAATATAATAGTTGGCACTCCTCAAGAGCAAAGAAAGAAAAGTAGTAAGTTGTAGTTATTTAATGTCATTATGATTTTTATTATAACTTTATAATTTAAAAGTAGATTATAAACAAATGTGCAGTCAGTTATTCGGCGCAGCGAGCCATTGTTCAAGCTTATCGTTATTTCCCAGCTCGGGACAGCGGATAATGGATACATTTGCAATCTCTTGGATTATACCAAGATTAAAGGAAGGAAGGTATCAAGGCTTCAGATAGTTTCGTGTTAATCTATTATGACCACTCCAATTTCACATTTAAATATAACTCATCAATAATATTTATAATATAATAAATTATAAATAATATTGTATTTTCTTTAACGATTAAATATTATTATTTTTAAAATGATTAATGCGAAAATATCGACAAAGATCTTACCATAAATAGCCTATATATAGACTGTAGCTTGCTAACATCTTGTACCTATATAAAATAATCCTTGTATGCCACAATCAACTTATTTAGTGAAAGTTACTCAAATAGGTGTGAAAAGTAACAAAATAAAATTATTTTATCTGTCAAAACACATCAGCGTCTACGTGGTTAACGATCTTAATTCGCCACAATGGTCTTATATTGAATTTTTTTTTAAAGGAGTTTTTTTAAATAGTAGCACATATCAATAACATCTTAATAATAGTAAAAATATGAGATCTTTTGAACGCAGCCCTGCTTGCGTTGATTATTTAGGTATAATTACTTGATGCACTCTTAAGGGTTAGTTAATTACTCTTAAGCACGATGTTAGACAACCTATATATTTTCCTTAATAGGTTTTGAAGTGCCAAAAAATCAAATCTGACTGGTAGTTCCAAGATTAGCGATATTTAACAAAAAAAACTGACAGTTCAGCTTTGTAATATTATTTGGCTTATAATAAAAAAAAATTATACTAATACTTTGTTAAAAAATGAAATTCGTAATTTAATTCAACGTGAAGTTTTTCTTTATGATAGAGGTTTATAATAAATGAGAAACATCGTCTTTAATGAACGCAAATTCTACTTTAACGTCTACGAAGCCTGTAGCAGTAATTCTTAGTATATTATTTTCATCAACAAAAACTAAATACTTTATTATAAATACATTAAATAAAAAATATGTTGTAGAATTTTTATAAATAGTCTGAGTTTAGTGAAATCGATGTGCGCGTTTCACGCAAAAAAATACTGAACCTAAGTTTTGTGTAACTTATTACTCGGGTCAACATTTAGGTTACCTTTTACTACAGGATTTTTTTTCATTCCCACGAGAAAACAATTACTGGTTCTATCGAGTAATTCTTAGAAATTTACATGTCTAACGCTGGCTAAACCTTAAGAGATACATCAAAAGAATGTACAAAAAAATTGTAGGTCTTACTTATTATAGGCCTTATGCCTACAGAAAAATCAATAACTATGCATATCTATTTAAAACGTACTTAAGGACGCACACGAGCGAAGCAAGAGTTAAGTCAATAGTTTATAATAAAACTTAAATTGGTTTTCTTCTCAGAAAAATGCACATGGAATTGAGAGCATTATTCAAGCACTGAATGTAATAACGCGGTATAAAGTTTCGAGGGATTACGAAATGAATAGCGCAAATAAAATTTATCCATATTGAAAACGCTTCGGTTATAATGAGTTTAAAAGCTGAAGTTGTTAACTCCGCTTTTAGTGAAATGCACAAAATTAAAATTCAAATCTTACGCCTGATAGTGATTTTAATTTATTAAAACTGTTATTGTTTTTGCGCTGAGTAAAAGCATAAATGAGAGAGCATTTTATTAAAGCTTTTTTACACAAGGCTATGGAGTAAGTGTTATCTTGTTTTTTGGAGGTAAACTACCTTTTGGTGAGGAATACATTATTTTAACACAGCTGCTAAACGGCAAATTGTGTGGGCTACAATATTAACTTAAAAAAGGGTCATACAGTGTTTTCTTTTAGTCCGACTTTATTATCTTACAATTAGTGATATTGTTACTTTAAGAACTTTTACTGAAACTATCTAGCATTAAAAAATAAGCTTGAACGTTTGAATTCTAATGAAGAAATTAAAATGAAAATAACAAAATATTCTATATCAAACATTTATTTTAGATAACTTTTAGTTACTATTATTTCTGCAATTAATACATAATATGTACTATATGAGTGGATTTGGCTATCTACTGAGTGATCCGGTGAAGGATTTAAGTTTTGAGAAAGAAAATGAATGCAGTAACCAACGTTTTCTTTTTATATACAAAAATCAAAATGTGTTAAGTATTCGTAATGCAATTCAAATTCGTTAAATGTTTGAGTGAATTATGAAAACTTACGCTGGTAAATAGGATGTGCAGATGACACGAGCGAAGCTGCATCGGTGTCATATGGATCCAAAGTTGGAGGAATTCCTTCTGCTGTCGAGTCGGACAGGTTCCCACCGCATACAGAGGTGGCACCACCATCACTGCTACCTGTCACTGACACGGCTTTATTACAAAATTATTTTATTACATATATTCGAATCAACAACTTTGTGGCTATGTTCTTTGAACTCATATCACTAAATCATACTACCAAGTGACTAAAAACGATTTAATTTAAAATAATTACATAACTATATTTTTTATTATATTCGTTGTTGCGTAATAAACAAATTATGTTTAATGTAGAGATTTAAACAAAAGTGTCCAAAAGCGAAATATACACTACTACACTTAAGAAATAGCTTTAGAATTTAGTACAAAATATAAAGTCTGTGATTTTAAGGTTTCCAGTTTATAACCACTTCTTGTTTGCCTTTGTATTGTTAGACCGAAAAGTTGAACCACTACGCCAAACTGCACCAAACTGACACATTTCGACAACAGATTAATGTTTATTTTCGGTGACTTACTGTTTGTTCTTTACTTCAAACAACACTAGTTCAGGTATTTTTTCGTAATTCAATAATATATAACGGAATCAAGTTTCCGTGATTACTAAATGCTTTTTTTATGTTGAAAAGGAATTACTTTGAGTACACTGCTAAGTTTTATAACAATTTATTAAGTAATTCCAAAAAAAGTTTTAAATAATTATTAATTAGTTAATTTATACTTATAAAGCAATATTAATATTATAGCGGCCAATACAGTTACTTTATACTAGCGACTCACCCTGGCCTCGCTTCGCTCAGGTTCGTCCCTAGCTTGTTTCTCAATACAAACTTTCATCCCCATTTACACCCCCTTAAGGGATGATTTCCGAGATAAAGTGTCCTATGTCCTTCCCAGAGTTTCAAACTATCTTCTTACCTTTTTTATTTGATTATAGATTACCCCCTACAACGTTACAAGCCCACAAACTTCACTTTATAATATTAGTATAGATTGTGAAAGACAACTTTAATATTTTAGTTTACTCGTATAGTCAAAGTTAAATCCAATAGTATAGTGTTTCAATTTCAGCACCTACAGAAATAATTTTGTGAAAAAATATATTTTCTACTTTGTTAATGCAGAGACAGTAACCTCTAACTCCGGAATCAGCACTGCAGCTACCTCTATCGCCGATTAAGCCAGATGGTCCTCCGAGAATCATTGGTGGTCCAATTCCTAATGACGCGACGCTCTCGCCTTCTGATAGACATCCTGCAGCTTGCAGTTGCCTTCGAGCCTAGACAAAATATTTAATAATTAATATACACAAGGATGTATTTAAGTTATGTTCAAATATATATTATTATATTAGTGAAAATACTCATCAAACTTTTTTAAGTAAGAGCATGTGTACTGTGTATTATTTAGTCTAGTCGACAAGTTGAAAATGGTACAAAATAGAGATACTGCTCTTAAAATTATGTGCGATAGCTCATTGGAAAAAAATATATTATAAACAAAGTATAAATATTTTTTAACTTTTATGGCGCGATCTTGTTAAGTATGTATGTAAGGAAGGCTCTACGAAGCGAAATTTTTTACGACCTTTATTTAAACATTTTTTTTCACTTACAATTAAGACGGTAGTTCGATAAAATTTTGTTAGTTAACAATTGTTTAACTTGTTGAAAATTAAGTTTAAGTAAAATTTCCAACGGGAATAAATTATTTATAGTGTTCAGAATACACCATAATTTTTCAAATTAAAAAAAATATTCAATACCTTAAATAAATTAATTAATGTGCCGTACTCGCTTTTGACGCCACGCGTGCTACCTAAAAATGTCGCGCGCAGACCTATTTTCAGCATTAAATTAAAATTGTAAATAATGGAGATAGAGTTCCGGGAGTTAGGAGTTTTTTTATTGGAAATTGCCTCCTCTTTCAAAATCTTTAAAATTTCTTAAATATTAATAGTTTATGAAATATTGGCAAAAAACGAAATGCCATTTTTTTCATCTTTAATTGTTTATAACTTTTGACACGGTTTTGGCACATTTTTTAGGCGTCATTCCGGATCCAATGAGCTATTGCACATAATTTTAAGAGCAGTATCTCTATTTTGTACCATTTTCAACTTGTCGACTAGACTATATTTAACATTATAGGAAAACGCTTGGTTTTCATTGAAGATACAGATTATTGCAGAATTAAAACAAATTGAAAATATAATATAAGAAATCGTTTGTGCTCATATTTCAATTACATTTTAATATTTAAAGGTAGTTCGACTGCGATATTGTAATATTTTACCCACTGAACAATTATTATTATATCCTGTGTATTACAATGACCCACAAAGTGCCTATAATTTACATTTGATCGCAAAAAGCTTACAATGCCTGCTACTAACAAAAGCTATTGTTGAATAATGAATACATGATATTTTATTCGTTAAAAATTCTAATAATATTTTTATTTAATTTTTCTTAAGCATTTTTTTAAAGCAATGCAATTAAATTATAATCATGTAAATTATAAAATCTACAATTTACTTTATAATATTTAACAGCAAACGAAATATTCAGTATGTTGTATTTTAATAAAAAAATTATTCATATTTAAAAATAATATATTTCTTTGGAAATTTAAGTAAATGAAATACTTATTAGTTAGGACAAACCACCTAATCAGTATATAACAAACTAGCGACTCACTCTCGCTTCGCTCGGGTTCGTTCCTAGGTTGAATCCCCATCCAAATTTTCATCCCCATTTTCACCCTCTTAAGGGATGATTTCTGGGATAAAAACTATCCTATGTCATGTATAAACAAACAAACAAAAAATCAAATCTTTCTTCTTTAAAATATTAGTACCTATAGATTGCATATCAATTATTTTTTGCTTCACTTTATTCAGAAAATAAGAGGTGTCCAAGAAAGTATCGATCATAGCTAGGTGTTCCGCCCTGTAAATTCCGTTGTTTATGCTCTTTAAATAAGCGATCGAGATTTATTCACCATGATATACTGAGCTTAATTTTCTTTGGTAATTCAAAAGAGGCCATTTGAAATTGTAATTATTACCGCGCGGTGCTGATGGATGGGCACGAATGTAATCTACACGTGGCACAATACATTCTAATATACATAAGAATATTTTTTTACATTATCGATTCTTTTATAATAGTTATAATATTTTCTTTCATTTTATAATATTTTAAACAAAACTGTTCTATGTATTTAGTAGACGTTATTATAAGTTTGTTAATTGTAATCTATATAAACACAGTGCACCTTTTACTGTAATATCTGTAAAAAATCATATTTTTTGTTAAATGGCTATTAGGTTAGTAGTTGAGTACAATGGACTTCGCTTAGGTTGCTTAGAATGGAGAAGACACAATGGATATTTATTTAGTACTAGTTGTTCGTCTGGTCGTAGAAATTCAACCATAACCGTTATTACAAATTTGAGGAAAACATATATGTGACGGAGGAGTTAGTTACCTTTTTCTGATAAAATGTAAAACCTTATTGTTGTTTAAAGTCACAATGTTATTTAGTTTAGGTTTTATTTCGAATTAAATATAAATTCGCATCGAGTAGAGATTATGTCTTGATCGGAGCCGAGACGCCATCATGAATATGAACTATACGAATAACTAAATTGAAATCTTTTTTTTTAAATATATTTCAAAGTCTATGTATAGTTTTTAAATTATTATGAGATTTTATAACTAATACAGATCTTTCAGATACAGATATAAGAAAAAGAAATACTTTCCTACGTATCGTTAACTTCATTGAGGCAATATCTAAAGTTCGAAACAGTAAGCCAGTGTCATTGAAATTCTACGCATGACTTGGCTTATTTCCACAGAGTCTTCAGTGCTCGACAGGGGCTGTCTCTGTAGATTACTCATTGTATTAATATTTAATGAGTTCTTAAAATAAGATATTTACAGTAAAACATTCCTGTTTGAAGTTTACTAGTCAATTAAAGCGGCATAGCTTTGCCCGCATTTATAGATTTTTCACAAATTAACTTTAAAACGCTTGATAAGTCACATTTACACAAAATCTCATTTTTGTTTCTAAGATACCCAAGAATCGCTTACTCTTGATATAATACAGACGAACAATAAAATATATTATACGAATCGTCATATCGTTGTAAACTGAATACTCCTTCTTGGTGACAAGAAATTCTCAGTCGGATGGAGATGAAAAGATTCGCACGTTCTTTGCGCGTGCCTTCTCTTCCTCTTGGACAATGAAGAAATTAAATCCATCTGTACTTGTCTATATACAGTTGTTCATCGTACTAGACTGCCTACTGCTGGTCGCTGGTACTAATACTGCATAGGGTGATATTTAGGAAAATTTATACTTGGTAGACAAGAATTTAATTCAAAGTTTGTTTGATAGCTAACATTGTTTTCTACTAATAAATAATCGTTCCACACTATTTCTCAAAATATACATAATATGCAATTATAGCATCAATATTAGTACAATTTTTTTTAAAGATTGATAATAAGACCGCCTTTGCCTGTTTTTTGTTATCTTTCTTTTTCTTTTCATTTTAAATAAAAAAAAAATTGATATCATCATCATTTCATGTTAAACTAATTCAGCACTTTTTTAAGTCCCATTGAAAACTTGGCAGCGAAAACAGGCTTGTAATAAAGAAAGTACCGATAGATTTGTTTGATAAAGTCTGTCATAATATATTCTGTACATGGGAGTAACGTTTGTCTGTACTAAACGAGACAGCGTGTGATTTAGCCTAGAGCCTAAACAAAATGTTTAAGATTTATGTAACGCTTATAAGTACAAAAAATGAAAAATGTTTAAAAGGTACAATCCATTGTTAGAAATCGTAATATTTACATAACAGTAACATTAGTTAAAACTAATAAGAAAGATTTTGGCAAGCAGAATATATATTTTTTTCTCATACAAACTTGCAAGTATGTATCAGGAGCTTGCAAAACCACCAGCCACCAAAATAGCTCTTATAAATGAGATAGTATTATGTAAGGGATACTACTCATAAAAGATGCAACATGTAGTTCAACAGATGACGCTATCATAGAGACGCTACATTGTTTGCTATTTGTTCTTTCATATATTTAGTATGTTTAGTTATCCACTGAGCACATCAGATGTTATATAGTGTTACTGATCCAAATAATCCTTACTTAGATCTTTGTCAAATGTAAAACGGATTAATTCTCTTCTAAATAAAAACAGGATGATTTGTTATTACATGTTTACATTGCTTTTGCTAAAAAATAAATGTTATATTGATATGAAAAATTTACATAATTTATAAACATTATGAAGGAGTATTTATTTATCTATACACCTCATTACGAACTCTACATTGTAAAAAAGTAAATCAAAGCACAACTGAAAGGGATCTATAGAATTTTCCTGTTTGATATATTTAAATATGTATTGTGTGAAGTGTAAAGTGGCTTTTATCAATGTTTCTCGCATACTATTATATATTTGTAATTTATAAATCAGAGCATAGTGTACACAATAATTACTACTCATGAAAGTTATATTTTGACATAGTATGGTGTGAAACAGCAAAAAATGCTTCGCACCTCGCTAAGAGCTAATAATATATTTATTTATACTATGTATAAAATAATATTTGCTAAATTATCCTTTTTATTTATTTGTTTAAGGAAAATATCTACTTCGTATAGTACTCTCAGTACAGTTGGAAACTTTTTGTACGCCGATTTCATAATCACAATAAGTGTAAAGATGTATAAAAGTTCGCAGGCTATAACGATTTTCTTGGACTATATCTTCATACCTATTACAAACCCCTACCAAACTAGATCGGGATAGAAAGAAAGTCTACACAGTTAGTTGAAGTCTGCAGAGTTTTTTAGTTTATATACAGTTTGTGAAAAATCATGAACTTCCTATAAAGTGCCTTCCGTTTCACTATCCGCCAATCAGCTAGTCCATCATGCCTTTCGCTGTTGTGTGCGAAAATAAACTTAAGCTTTAGAATATATTAAAAATATATTACACTAGAACTGCTTATTTTTATAAAAATAACAGTAATAATATCCCAATCAATTTAGTTACAGCGGAAAATCTTACTTAGACTCACAACAAGTCTAATCTCTATTTCTTTAACTCCCATTTTCCAATGGGACGACGACTCCACACGTCCAGAGTCCGGACGCATAGGCGACGGTATTGTCAGTTGACAAGCAGCCCAGAGTTAAAAAGTTTCCTAACACTTGGTAACTAGAGTATTTCATGAAAAAAACCCAGCACTAGTGATTTAGGCCTCCCAAGAAACCAGGATCACTCAATCTTGAGGATGTGTACATGCTAGCTCCTAGACTAACGAGGCAGTCAAAGCAATATAATATTACTCACTTCAAACAGTTGTTCTCTTGCATGTCTCAGCTGTGTGTCCCGAGCGCTTAGCGCGGCCGCTAGTTGCAGGGAGCGTTCCGCCTCGTCACGCGCGTGCCGCAACAACGCCGCGCGTTCGCGTTCACGCTCAGCGCGCTCCGCCCCCAAAGCGGATGAAGCGCCGCTACGAGACCGCATCTATGTGGTGTAGTTTACATATTATTACCGTCTAGTATCCAGTAAATTTTGTCATTAAAGGTTTTAGGACTTTTCAATCGTAAATAAAAGTTATTCGTAGGATCATATTATAAGGTAAATTATTAAAGGTGAGTGATGACTTTGTACAATAACGACAATGAAAAAACAAACAGTAGGTCGGTTTGTTTACCTTAAAATCGAATTTTGAAATCCACAGCACATACCATTTAAAATATCTTAATTATTTGTTTAAGATGGTTATCGTCTTCGTTTTTGAAATATGTTAATAACAGGCAGGCTGATTTTGTAAAACATTTGTAAGAAAAAAAAATTAATACTAAAATTTATTGTAATAAACATAGGCCCCGATTAAGTAATTAAAAACCTGGTATTCATTTAGATTACATGATACTTTTAAATTATAGCTATATATGTATCTTATTATGTAATTAACTTATTACTACGTATACCAGCATTTAGGTATAAGTCTTATTAGTCTGTGCGAACTTCTGCACTGATATTTATAAAACTAGGCACGACTAGTCGAATTTAATACTTGCGTCGTACCGGAAAATAAAAGTTACCTGCTGGGGACGAAACTTCGTATGAGAATTTGTTAGTATGCAGAAAGTATCATATTTACGAAGAAAAGTTAACGCGAGCTAAGTCGAACTACAGTAAGTTGCAAAATATAGTAACTATAATAGCTTTATAATAAATAGTTATTCAATTAGTATAAATTCATTTTGTTATCCTATATCTATACATATAATAAAATTGTAACTAAGCCGAATCTGTACATTAAATATTTTTTTGGAAAATCTTATTGAAATAAACATTATCATTATTATTATATCGATACGAAGGACAAATCTATAGTTTTTAGAAATTTTGTCTGTGTATCTGTCTGTCTGTCTGTCTGTTACCGCATCACAGAAAATCACTGGAAGGATTTTGATGAAATTTGGTATGGTGATAGCTGGTTATCCGGGTCAACATATAGGATACTTTTTACCGCGGGAAAATATCTCATTTCTAAGAAAAAATACAAATTCTGCATTGTAAGACTATACCAATATGTAAAACTTAAGAATTTGGTTTTTGGTCATCTGAACGCGGGCGGAGCCGCGGGCAATGCTAGTATGTAATGTCATAAATATATTCTATGTATGCGCAATCTGAAACAATCAGTAATGTCTCTATTGTTGAATTAAAATAAATACTTTGTATATTTCAAGCTCCATTCATACTGATAAATTCTATAGAGAATCAATGTTTTCAATTAAACTTGTTTTGATTTGTTCTATAAAAGCTAATAATATCATTGACTTTATATTCGGAATCCAAACTAAAATTCTATATGCAAGTATATTATTTAAGGTGGAGTTATTATTAAACTTCCAATCAGCATTACAATTATATAAATTGGCTTATGGAAAGGACAATTGAAATACGAAAAAAGAACTTTAGAATAAGCTCCATAATATTACGCCCTCATAACATTACGAGGATATGAACTTTTTTCAATAGTAGGTACCTGTTCATAATTTCTTATGAAGTCCCTGAGCTCCTTTTCTTTGTCCTCGAGAGTCGCGTATAGTTGCTTCATCTGATTCAGCAAATCAAATTTCTCCGCTTTGAGCCGCTTCTTGTCGGCTTTCAGAGCTGCAATAAAAGGAACTGTTAGTTTTATACTTGCTTCCACGGTTAGGTGTTTTATTCATTTTCCTCCACTATTTCAGTACAAGGAAAGACTCTTCAGGGAAAATCCCACTTATATATTCCCGTACATTTTCTTTTTCGTCAAATTTGTTTTGTATTAGGCATATTTGTCGACATATTTTCGGTAGACAAATAATATATTTTTTCGACTATGAAATATAGAGGACGGATTCATATTTCATATAAAAAATCTTTTACTTAAATAAGATTTTCTTTATATAATGTTCACTAGTTACTTTATAAAAAAGCGATAAAATACTTTTTTAAAATTTTACAAGTAATTATTTAAATTTATTTTTATATTAATTAACTTGATATAGATCGTTTATAAATCAACGAAATGACCTGTTAATTTATAAAACGATACTGTTATTAAAACTACTATAGCATGCGTTATTTTCTTAATAACTAGAGGAGAATCCTTTTTTGTAAAAGCTTATATAAATATAACGACACATACATATATAACTAACTAGCGACTCACCCTCGATTCGCTCGGGTTTGTCCCTAGGTTGATTCCCCATACAAACTTTCATCCCCATTTTCACCCCCTTAAGGGATGATTTCCGGGATAAAATGTATCCTATGTCCTTTTCCCGGGATTCAAACTATATTCTTACCATCTAAATTCAGTAAATCCAGAGATTACCCCTCACAACATCACAAACTCATAAACACACAATTCACAAACTTTACCTCTTTATAATATTACTAGCGGCTCACCCTCGCTTCGCTCGGGTTCACCTCTAGAAAAGCACAAACAGATATATCCCACGGGAACCGTTCATTTTTCCGGGATAAAAATAAGTAACCTGTTGTTTGACCTGCAATATAAGGTATCAGCGTGCCAAATTTTACTAAATTAGGTGCATAAGTTGTTGTGTACTGAGCTGTATAAGTTACTATAATTTTTTTACTATCCCACGGGAACTCTTTAATTTTCCGGAATGAAAAGTATCAAATTTCATTTAAATAGGTTCAATAGCATCGGAGATTAGCCCGTACGAACAGACAAACAGACAGAGAAACAAAAAAATTGAAAAAAATTGGATTTGTTCTATTTCTCTTCTTACGGGATGTAAGAAGAGAATTGACTCGTTTTTTAGCAATTTTTTCTACCATCTATGTACAGACATTCGACCTCTACAGTTTTATTATTCATATATGAACCTATATTCAGATAGAATAAATAGCGTATAATAAAACAGAAATATATAATAATGAAAATAGTTATAGCGAGTGTACCTTAGGAGATAGACACATACTATGTAGAACTTTTCTATAGACCTTTGTAAGACTTACAATTTTCTCGTACAATGTTTTGATCTATCTCTTAAGGTTGAGCCAACGTTAGCCATATAAATTTCTAAGGACAATTCGATAGAACCAGTTATTGTATTTTCCCGTGGGAATGAATAATTTGCCTGTCGTAAAAAGTATTCTAAATGTTGACCCGAGCACTAAGTTTTATCACCATACAAAATGAAGTTAAAATCGGTTGAGTACTTTTTGCGTGAAACACGCACATCGATTTGACTAAGTTTTATTATAGGTATAGATAAGAATAAATATTGCGAGTGTAAATTAGGAGATAGACATATACTATTCAGAACTTTTCTGTAGGACTTTTCAAGACCTACAATTTTTTAGTATATTGTTTTGATGTATGTCTTAAGGCCTAGCCAGAGGAAGGTTTCTAGGGAGGACTCGATAAAACCAGTTATTATATTTTCCCGTAGGAAAGAAAGATTTTCTTTAAGTAAAAGCTATCTAGGCAGTGGTATCCCAGTGGTAACGCGCTCGCTTGGGAAACCGAGTGAAGCAAGTTCAAATCCCGGGTCTAGCACCTCTGATATTGGCCAGCGTGGTGGACTATGGCCTGATCCACCTCGTACTGAAGGTGCGTGTGTTAAAAAGGGCTGAATACAACAAACAAACATACATACATACATACATACATACATACATACATACATACATACATACATACAAAAGGTACCCTAAATGTTGACTCGAGTAATAAGTTATCACTTCACCAAATTTCGTTGAAATTGGTACATTACTTTTCGCGTGAAACGCGCACATAAAAACAGACAAACAGACATACAGGCAAACAGACAATTTTTTTAATAACTATTGTTTTGGGGTCTATGTTGTGTACATAATACGTTACAAATAAACAAAAACATCTATCCCACGGGAAAAGTACATTTTTCCGGGATAAAAAGTTACTAATTTGTTATTCTGATGTATGAACTATATTATTGTAAAGTTTCATCAAAATCCAATCAGTGGTTTTTGTGTACTAAGCAGCTAAGCTGTATAAGTTACTATAGTTTTTTGACTATCCCACGGAAAATCTTTAATTTTCCGGGATGAAAAGTAGCTGATTTTTTTTGTCATGTATGAACTATATTATTGTAAAGTTTCATTAAAATCCAATCAGTAGTTTTTGTGTACTAAGATGTATAAGTTTTTATAGTTTTTTAACTATCCCACGGGAACCCTTTAATTTTCCAGGATGAAAAGTATCTAAGATGTTGCCCGGGAATATAAGGTACCACCATGCAAAATTTCATTTAAATAGGTCCTATAGATCCGGAGATTAGCCCGTACAAAGAGAAAAACAGATAAACAGCTCGCTCGGGTTCGTCCATACATACGAATATGTTGTATTATCTCTTTAACCATTTGTCCAAATTATATGCAGTAAAAGGGAAAAGTCTTTTATTTTAAGCATTTTAGACGATAAATTTACTTATTTTGATAAGAATTCATAATTGTTGATAATATGACCAATAAACATGACCTACCGATTTAAATGATTTTTTTAATATAAAAAACTACTTTTTGTGACTTAAATATAAAAGTTAGACATATGCTGTCGCTGACTTTTTTGTAGGCATTATTAAGCTCTACAACTTTTCTCTAGAACATAATCATATATCTCTCATCGTTAAGGCAGCGTTCGTAAGAAACGTTTTCGTTCGACCGTTTTTTCTCCGACTTACTTTGCAAATCCGACTACCAAGAAAAAGCCTTTTCATTTTTCGGGTAAATATATAGCCTATGACACTCAGAAAGAACGTGGCTTTCAAACTCACAAACACACAATTCACAAACTTTACCTCTTTATAATATTATTGTAGATGTATAAGTATCCATACTACTTACAAATACAATAGTGATATAAAATTACAAATAGTACATGAAAGCACAATGGCCTTTAGCGATTAGGAAGCTTACACGCTGATAAGCGGCCTTTGATCGTTGCTTCATTGAGCGCATCAAATGACTCGACGTCTGTCGTTTTACCCTATTGTGCTAATATAATGCATCCGATGCGGACATCCGACCCGATTTTCAGATAAAGCTGGAGGCTTTTTGATGGTTATTGATTTATACTCAAATTTCTACAGCTTATGTGTATTACATGTGAAATATACTATTATATATAATAGCTCTCTCAAAAAGTATAGATGTAGACACTATCAATAGATTAAGCAGCAGATTAACACTAATCAAGCTTCTAATTCCATTAACACAATATAGGATTACAATCGTTGACCCGATAAGATTTCATAATAACGTCAATAATCATAAAACCTTTTAAATTATTTTATAAATCTAAGGATGTGTGCAAACTAATCCACTTTCTATCCACTTGATTAGTTCACATTCAACTTTTTGACAAATATTTAATTACTTTTATTACAGTTCGTGTAATCTATATACTAATATTATAATGAGGTCAAGTTTATGCGTATGTGGGGTTGTACTATAGTAGGGGGTAATTTCTAGATCTACTGAATCGATTTGGATGAAATTTGGTAAGAAGATATTTTGAAAGCCTGGGAAGGACATAGGACTTTTTATCTCGGAAATCATCTCTTAAGGGGGAGAAAATGGGGATGAAAGTATGTATTGGGAAGCAAGCTAGGGACGAACCCGAGCGAAGAGAGGGTGAGTCGCTAGTAGTTAAATATAAGAACAAATTACCCATCTTTAAATGATTTTGTTTACTTTAGATATTCATAAAATTGATGGGTCGATAAGTAACGACAATTTGACGTGTATAAAGTTAATCCATTAGCTCATGCTCTGGAGCTAGACATACACATGTATAGTGTATGTAAGTAGATTGTATCTGACGATAAACAATACATTTTAAAATATAGAACTGATATAATATGGACACTATAATGGCATCAAAAACTCGGGTCAGACATTCAATACAATATAATAGATACTTTCAAATAATGTAATACCACCTAAAACTATTAACATTGATGGTCGCCGTTACTCTCGACACATAGGGCGAACTATTTTGACGTATTGGATTACAAACAATCTTTTTTATTACTACCGTAGTACTTTGTTTGAAGCTTTCAGGTATAATAGCAACGGTTTTATGTCGAACATTCAGACATTAAATGAAATTGCTGACAGCGTTTTTACTATTTATTTTTCTTAATTTTATTTTTCTTAAATCGTATGTTCAGTTTTATCATTTACATATAAATAGGTTTTAAAAAAAAATATAATCACGAACTACTTTATCTATTCTTTTTTAACTATTTTTATTGGTATTGGCTTTATAGGAATCCATTTATCTGATTAAAAAACTTCATTATAGTACACATTGATTTAGTTGAAAGTAAGACTGAGTAAAAGTCAAAGGGCAACCTTCAAGTCGTGACTGGTAAACTAATTTGCACTTAGGTTTCCGACCAGATACTTTACCAAACATTATGACTTTAGTTTATCAAACTGTCGGTATCCAACTTCTTTTTCCAATCATGAACGGAGGGTTTAACAAATTGCCTATCTTAGTTGGCGATATTACAGTAGATTTAGGCTCTGGAGCGTGAATAAAAACATATTTTATCTTTATCACAATATTTCGACCTAATATGAAAGCAAACAGGTCAGTTTATTAGCCGACCGAGCGTAATAAAATGGTAAACTTCGTCCATACCGACCAGACAATATTTGAATTTATTTATGTATCTTCTACTTATATTATTATTGAAAATATCTTTAATGAGGGTCTCTGGAATACAGCCCTATGAGATTATTATGTATAATGAAGCTATAGACTCATATCACAATAAACGAAAGCGCAGGTCGGTTACGAAATATTATCACATTTTTTTAACGTTTACTTTTAACCTATAGAAATTGTAAATTAAAAAAAAAACTTTTTCTTTCCACCAATACGCAATATAACACGTTAGTGTAACCAAAGCACCTTCAAACCGTATTTGTGTCTTTCCACTCAATACTCACAATTGACAGCTTCTCTAGCTAGCAACAACTCCTTCTCCAACAGCTGAGGATCCAGAGCTGGGCCGTCTTGTGAGTCCCCATGGGCTCTTTCAATCAAGGCGTTTCCTGCTTCCCCTCTTTCAGCGGCTGACACTAGTAAGCGCCGCACTCGCGTCAACTCCGCCTGCATCAAGGATTAATCGCTATCGATTTATAAAGTCCGTTCCTCCCGATATTGTCGATATAGAAACAAATTAGACGAAGTCACGCAAGCATAATTCTGACTTTAACATGTTCCTATGTAGGATAATATACTATTCTAGAAAACTTGCATAGTGCTTACACGTGCATAAAATATATATTCCAGGGCAACTATAAAATTATTTTGCGCATCATATTAGAAACCTTTTAAAAATTATTTTACATACTTACGAAATAAATAAATTTGAATATAAATTGTAAGCATATTGTACAAGTAATTATAATAGTAATATTAAATATGTTTGAAAAAGAATACATAATTTATAAAAACTATAATACTGTAAATTTTTCTTTTAGTAAAATAACAAGTTATTAAATTCTTTTCCACAGTCTACTTGTATAAAAAACGTCTAATGAAAGAGAAATATCCTTTGACTTTAAAGTGGGCGTTGAAAAAATAAAAAATAAAAAGGCAACCTGCAGACGTTCGTTTTCGAGTCGCAGGCGGCGAGCGAGCTGTGTGGCGGTAAGCATCCCAGGGGACGCCGGCACCTCTTCCTGCCGCGACCTGTCCGAGCGCCCGCCTGGAGACCCCGCCCCTGTTTATTTTACTTATTAATATCTAAATCATTCGCTCTTATGGAATATAAAAATACAATACATACAGAATAAAAAACTGAAACATGTGAATAATATATCACGTGAAAGAAACATCCGATGTTTCAAATTTTCACGATAAAAATAAGACAAATTATCTGCTATAAATATGATATAAAATCGTATTAATTTAAATGATTACGGCACGTAAACATTGCAGCAATGCAAAACTTCTCCCAGTCACGAAAGCGGTCCCCGTCCAGACGAATCGATTACTCGTTTTATCATGCGTCAGGGCGTAGGACGCAGGTGTGTATGCGGCCTGTTTTATTGCTGCCACTCGAGTATTGACTTTGCCAATCAATTCTCTTACGAGATACTTATGAGTCCGTAATTGTAGTGCTGATTCCCCTTGTTCGGTAGAGACGCAATATTAAAAGAATAAATGTTGCTTCATAGCTAATACAAAATAAGTTGTTTGACATTGTGAGGGTGTATAATACAATGGCGATTGGTTTTCATAAATGCTTAATATTTTTCTCTGTTTTTATGAAATACTCGCAGATTGTCATGGTGTAATTAATGTCGTTCGCGAACTAAAAAATGATAAAAAAAACTAAAAGATAAAATTTACTAAACAATTTTTCTAATTAATCCAATAGTTATGGAGTTATACTTTCTAATATCGTTCATCAATAGGACGTAGGTAGGACGAGCCTTCTGCTCGTAATAAACACTGACCTCAAAAAAATAATTGTAAGCATGTTTAAGGTTTTAGACTTATTTTGAGCATAATTCAAGATTTTCTTTTTTTCTTTTTAGTTAATCGTGTTTTCCATCGTTTCATTTTTTTAAGATTTTGACAATATTTTGATTATAAGTATAGTAATACTGCCACTATTCATTTTCTATAAGATAAACTTATTTTACATAATAAAATTTCATAATATGATGAGGGAATTTCCCAGCCAACAACAATAAATCAATTAAGTTTTTGGGTGACGGCGCTGACCTACTTTAAGTAACGAACTGCAGCGAAGTACCTCAGGGTACTCATATATTATTATGTGATTCGTAAAGGAAGGTTACAAAGGACATGCTTTATATAAAAAAATAAGTAATTGTATGTTTTATTATCGTTTTAGATATAAATAAGTATACTTAATTAATTTATAAGTATCTGTAACACTGATTTCATACTTATTAAGAATATATATTTGCATATCTATAGGGTTTTTGTAGCATATAAATATACATAAAATAATCTTTAATTAGCATTGAAACTTTCATAACCAAACTAATAATTTTTACGTGAAATTATTTTTCTATAAGAGAATTCGAAACTTGAGAAAACTGTGAAAAGTTTTAATTATTATCAGACGCTAATTAAAAAGGTAACGAAAACTAAATGACAAACTGCAACATCAGACAGAAAAGTTCTTTCTTGCAAAGTTAGCTATTTTGCAATCGCAAATGAGCTTATTCCCTACGGCAGTGTCTCATTAGTACAGGAGGTATTCCGCCAAAGCAATGTATGGAAATTGTTTTTTTAGTTGCCGAATATACAATAAATAGGATGACTCAATGTTATGAAAATTGCTGCACATAAAGCTCATCAACTTGGTAGAAAAAACAAATAGCAAATTGTCATAAGGTGGGAAAGTATTACCGTGCCTAGGTATCTAACACCATCAAGTTTTATCTCATGTGGTATTCATCATTAAGGTATTTTTATTTTTAAGATATTTAAAACAAAAGGTATAAGTAGGGACGTGAGCTCTAATTGACGGAACCAAATAGTACATAATATATATTGAATTTTAAAAATATAATACAAAACGAATGTATATGTAATATTCTTATTTAATGAAAAATTATGTAAAATCATGTAATGTTCTTATATAAAATTAACAAAAACACATTAAACTACAATTTAATCAATAATTAATACATATAATAAAATTCTAACCGAGTCGAATCTGTACATGAAATATTTTTTCGAAAATCTTATTGAAATAGTCATTATTATTAGAATTTTTGCCTGTCTGTCTGTTACCGTATCACAGAAAAACAACTAGAGGGATTTTGATAAAATTTGGTGTGATGGTAGCTGGCCATCTGGGACAACATATAGGATACTTTTTACTGCGGTGAAATTTCTTATCTCTGAGAAATCGATAGTAAACGTTGAAACGTAAGTAGAGACAAACCCGAGCGGAGCCAAGGTGAGTCGCTAGTATATGTATATGGTATAATGTCTACATAATTTTATATATAACTTGAAAATATACAGCCGTTATTTAGAAATGTATTTGTACGAAAGTAATATACATAATCAGGATTTGTATTTAAACGTGCACATTCATTTGTCACTCTCACAAAACACCCTAATGAAGCTATAATCCAAGCACGTCCCACAACAAAATGTATGAGACTTTTATAAGGTTGTTTGTCTAAGTTAAACCCTAGTTTCATACAACGCCACTCATAACAGCTTGTAGCGGGAGCGTTGAAGAATTCCTAACTAACTCCAAACTTACTTCATCAGCAAAACAAACATGACGGCCCTGACTAGTTAGCAACTATTATCTTCTGTATTATACACTAAAGTAAGACTCTATTTTAACAGGGTGTGTTTGTTATTTGCCCATCGTTTAATTTGATTTTCAAAGACCTTTCTTTAAGTGACAGCATAATGGATATACAAGATTTTTCACTTTACGAAAAATATATTTTGGCTAAACTTTACTTGACATTTTCCTAATATTTTATATGATAATTCGTAATATAATAGATCTCTTTATATTAATTGTCTTACTTATTAAATTTCTCCTGCATGGAATAGAGATGGATAAGAACGAAAAATAAATATTATATTGAAGGGAGGCCCGTACCCAGCTGTTAGGACTCGCTCGTAGGACGTTAAAAAGAGCGGCTTATAATACTCGTACAATAATGTTACTTACTGTTTATTCGTAATATCTTTTAAGTCGTTAAACTATATATTACCTCCATCTAAGGAAGCAGTGATATCGGCTCTGGGCTCTGGTCCATCGCTACTTCTGCCGGGTGAAGTAGCATCAGGCAACGGGACTTCCTCCTCTGAGCTATCTGCAGGATCTAAAACATTTCTATCACTTGCACTATTCCCTGCTGTTATTTCTGCGTAAGTGCCACTATCGCTGCCATTTTGCGTGGACCATTTCACAGGTGAATCTATTTTACCATTTGCCTGGTTTTCCTTGTTATCGTCATCCGGTGATGACGCTGTAACAAATTTTTTTGATGTTTTAAACTTCTCCTACCTCTCTAACCATAACTAATTTAATCGTCAAGCAAACGAAAGTAAAAAGTGTTGACGGTTAAAATTTAAATTAGACCTTTATTTATAATTCCACTAATATGCAATATTTAAAAACAACACATTTGTTTGACTGACGAATAAGCAACGAATAAGCAAATCAATTAAGAAACATTTAGCATTTTAAAAATATAGCCAAACACATCAAAACTCAGCGTTGAGCCTATTGTTATATTTTGCCTTATTATTTTCTTACTTACCTTGACCTAAAAACATGCCAACTACGGTGCTGAAATTATTTACATTTCCTACATTTAGAATATTCATCACTTAATCTAGGTTTAAGAATTATTACACTAAAACTAAGAAGATAAAGTAAATTACATATATTAAAATATAAATTGAATTAATTGATTTTATAATCAATCTGGCAATAGCAATCAGAATAAGTACAAACCTATAAAAGGGTTATCCTTCCCATTCTTAATCGAAAGGCGCGTCGATCTATTTAGCGTGCCTTCTTTGTCTCCGTTGAGCGCTCCATTACGGGGTTTGTCTAGAGTACTGATAAGAAGACGTCGTTCAGGAGGTATGGGCCGTGGGTCGTCGGTCCTATCGAGTGCAGAACACGCTGGAGTGATGAGTGGGTCTGCTGGCTCAGGTTCCGCGTCAGCCTCCACTCTTGTGCCCACTGACACTTGCTCGTCTACCATTTTGCGAAGTTTCGCCTGTACAGAGACAATATATTATTTAAAAAATCTACAATACTTTAATTTATAGAATCACTTTACCTACTTCTAAATGTCATATTGATTAAAAACTTCATAAGTAGGTGACGTGAGGATGAAAATAAATAAATAAATAAATTTAATATCATCGAGTTGATCTGACGATGATGAAGTCTGGAGGTGGATAGTCAGATTATTTAACTTCGGCTCGCATTTTGTTATTTTTAACGAGTTCGAAAATTTCGATTTTATAGAGGTTTCATTAAATATTTAAAATTTATATTAATATAAATATTGTTAAATAAGTATGTCATTTGCCACAAGGATACTAAGTATATTGTATATTGTACATATTATATCATTTGCAGTTTGTAGTACAATCGTAATATAAATATTAATAATAATAAATATTATGTGGTTGAAAACTTAACAAATATTCTTAATGTTCAGAAATACTTTTCACAGCTTTTTCTTTTATTTATCTTATTTTATTAAATTATATAAAAAATATAAATTTTATAAATTCTATCAAATTTTTTTTCTTTTAAAATTTGATTTTAAAACCAATCTGAATTAGAATACAATTTAGTTAACAACAATAGCAAAGTTTTCCTATTCAATCTATCATGAGTCTTTTGTGTTGCCGCAATGCCTAAGGCAAAACGCCGTCCACGTTAACAGATGAATCTCCTTAGCGATATAAAAGACTTTTGCTCAAATATAAATAACAGGCTTTATTTCATTTTGTATCTAGAATGTGAACTGAGCATGTAATATAAAACATTTCAAATGAAAACAATTTAAGCTCAACCCATTTACTAAAAGAATTATGAAGGCTCAATAAACGCCCTTATTATTTATTTGAAAAGTTAATATGAAAGTATACATATAGTCAACATTAAACCAATATTGTAGCGGTTATTTTTATTTATTTGACCAGTTTCTGAGTTATTTATTATTATCATTACTTCAAGGATTTATAGATAAGTAAAATATAAATCTATGTCATCAAATATTTTATACTTGAGATGTTCTTACAAAAAACAACATGCAAAACAATGATTAAGTGATTACATTGTAGGACATTTATGTAGAAGTGGCCGATAATTAAAAGCAGAACTCCTTAATCTGGTACGTTTAATAGCTTCAGCAGCCTTGGTTACCTGATTGAACCAAACTTTGTAATCGATGTTAACACTTCGATGAAACTTTAACATTGAAGTACATACAATATAAATTACAGGGTATCGGGCGTACTTGTAGAACTCTAACAGCCTTTAATCAAACAAAATAGGACTTAGCCAATATAGTGTTAGAATAGTATCGATTAGATTTAAAATGTATGTTCTGTGATACTGTATACTGTATAATCTCAGTTCAATTATCGCTTATGATAATAATATCCTAACCTTCTGAGATTATTTTTTGTTCAGATTATTTGACTTTTGAGTAGATCCAACTAAAATAATTGATTGGCTGGCGTGAATATGTTAATTTGTCTAAATGTCTATTTTTACAGAGCTGCAATTTAAAAGTTTGACAGGTTTTATTAAATCAGATTATTAATAGTGAAATATTAAATATTACCAAATAAAACTTTAAAGTGACATTGTAAAATTTACATTTTGACATATCATACAGCCACAGAATTTACCTGGGCGTCACCTAGTATTCGGCGCACAAGCGCCATCAGGCCGCCGTGGCAGGCGTTACCATGCTATCCACCCGCGCCGCCCCGCATGGTCGTCGCTGAACCTGAACGTTAGACTGTTACTAATGATGGCAAACTATTCCACTTTGCTTCACTTCCCCTCTGTCCTGTCCTTTGACGGCACCCAGCGGAACTAGAACAAAGAAAGGTCGTATAAATTAAAGTGTACACATTACATGTACATAATACTACTATTGTTTTTAGAGTCCCGTATGATATAAGACAAAAAAACCCTTATAGAATTAATCATTCCTCTGCTTGTCCATCTGTCATAGTATATTTTCTGTGTAGGGCAGAATTAACTTTTTTTTCATTTGCGGTGATAATTTACAAGATAAAAATAGATTTTATGAGATATACAGACTAGAACTCATCAGTCTAAAGATACTGTACAGTGTTCATTAATATAATTTGATAGTTTATTTATTTATTTATTTATTTATTTATTTATTTATTTATTTATCAGAAAAAACATAAAAAAGAAAACAAATACGATGTGTTCAGGATGACTTATCTCTCAACCCTCAAGCATGAGAAAATATAAATATAATATTGAGGTGCGGTGTATATACAAACTACAAACATCAATTATAATATTATAATACACATATACAAACATACATATTTACATAGATACTTAAATACATATATCCATACATACATACACATACATATTGGATAAACGAAAATTTTAAGCTAACAATTTTAAGATCTGAATATATACTTCTTTAATTGTTTATAATCTCTCTTCTTCAATGAATCTAATTATTATATAACTTGTTACCTACTAACAATATAACACTATAAAGAAGTAAATTTTAATTATAAGCACGTCACGCTCTAACTAGGTCAACTATGTCGGTTAAGTAGCATCAACATGTGATAAGATATTTTGAGATTTTCGTGTGTTTGAAATTTCGAATTTAAAGCTTAAAACTATTATATAATAATATTTGCAATAGAAACACGCATTAATAAGCATTATGAAATTTTAATCATTTTTTTCTTTGTTGAAATTTAATTAATTCAAAATAATACAATGTTTATTTCGAATAAATACCATGTAAAAAATAAAAGAATCTAATTTTGATTTCTAAAGGCACCTTTGTGTTCTATAATTTCATTTTATTTCTCAATTATTTGTCGTTTCAACAAAACAACCACTCTTCCTGCCAATAAACGTACTTTTTATGGCGGTAGTAGGAACATTTATTTAACTTTCAGAGAAACAAAACCGCTCGGGCATGCAGAGGTAATAAAAGGGCTATAAAATAGCACACCTAACTGCCATAGGCATCCTAATAATATTATAAATAATAATTAAAACTAAAATAAATTTTTAAACTTTATCCATAGCATTACAAACATTTAACTACTAAATATTTTCCCGAAAAGACTATTCTTTGAATCAGTAGACTTGATTGTTTTTATTATCTCACTAGCTGTGCCCCGCGGTCATTCCCGTTTTAAATATGTTTAACATCAGTTTTACAATAATGTATGGAAGTCTGCCCGATTTGTTGATATTTATAATTATAGCTCCGCTCCCTTGAGTAGTAGCATGATGATATAGGCTATAGCCTTCCTCAATAAACGGGCTATCTAATGCAAAAAGAATTTTTCATATCGGATTAGTAGTAGTTCCTGAGATAAGCGCGTTCAAACAAACAAACAAACAAACAAACTCTTCCTCTTTATAATATTAATACAGATGAGTAACTTTTTCAAACTTAAATATCGATGTAGAGTAATTCTCAAATTTCTTGAAATTCACATATTTTTCAGCCCATTTCAATACATAATTATTAATTATCTAAATAAAAATAGCTTGATCCCTCATACATACATTCATCCCCTTAAGGGATGATTTCCGAGATAAAAAATATCCTATGTCCTTTTCAGTGTCTCAAACTATCTTCTTACCAAATTTCATCTAAATCGGTTCTGTAGAACCAGAGATTACCCCAACAACTTCACAAACTCACAATTCACAAACTTTATCTCTTTATAATATTAGTATAGATAATTGATTATAATTAATACGGATAAAGAAAATATGTACTAGACCAGACCATCTATGGTACGGAAACTTCTATCGATTTTATACATAAATTGGTCGTTTCTTTACAATATGAATAATAATAACTAAGCAAAGCGAATATTTATTGATTATATAAAATTTCATATGATGTCGAATGCATTACAATTTTAATGAACCACCAACTTTTCTGTTTGTTTTAACACGCTTCTTCCCCTTGCTCTCTGTAAAAACAACATCTTCCGAACGTGCTCCGTAATATAAGTGGGCTGTTATGCAAATTGCCTAAACGAATTCCCCCTTTTTTAATTTGAGACTGTTATCCTGACGAATATAGTCGAAGCAAACACTTGAAGGCGGTAATTTGCGAAGGCCGGCTCGTTGAGCCCGCTTCAGTTATTGGCCGCAAAATTGATTAAAATTCCGACAACGTAAGGGAGACCTTGATTATGCATTTTTTATATTAAATTGCTATATTGTTGAAAATCTTAACCCAAACCACATACTAGGCGATAACTACCCCATCGACTAACGCCCATTACATTATTCATCTATATATGTATAAACAAATAAAAATATTTGAATTGCATAAAAAACAAGTTACACTCTAATACAATAGCAATGTAATTAATTGCCAATCATATCAATCTGGTATCTACACTAAAAATTATGTATAATATAATAAAATTACGTACTCACAAATGAGCCGATATTATAACCCTTTGGTTAATCAAAAGTAAATTACTAGGTCGCATTAATATATCGGTTGGAATAAATTAATTTAAAGTTTCACTCTCAAAAGAGCAAAATACTTTCAACTTTAAAATATACATTTCATAAGAGCCTTTTATGCAAATTAGACACGCGTACAGTATTCATCAAAGCGATTTCGCAGTGTCATTAAAAATCAGGTCACATCTTCTCGGATTTGCATAAAAAAGTTTCCAGACTAGGGGAATGAGTTGCCCCGATTACATTAAACTAATTTTTGACTTGATGATTTACATTTTGAAACTTACTTCTGAAGTACCCCAAATACTTCGGAATAAGTAATTGTGACATTTCAGTCAGGGACGATGGTAAGTAGTTTTTTACCCTATGTATGCTATAGGTATCTATTCTTAGAAAACTACTTCATGTTCCGGTATAAATAGTACGTTATGTCACTCTCCGGCCGCTGATCTATTAAAATATTACGTCAGTCTGTTTATCTGTTTTTCAACTTTTTTGCTGAACTGATTACCGTGTATAGAAATTTGTACGAATTTGAAATCAGTTGAAGAATAAAAATACTTATAACTACAATTATATAAATGGTCTCCACGCATAAACAATATTATATTATCATCTATGAAGTAATTAGTCACCGTAGACTAAATAGGTAAGTAATAAACTAAGCTTTGAATACTTTCGTAGTGATGTAAAGTGATATTTTCTTTGCCCGTCAGCGGAATAAGTAACCTGAGTTAGTGAAATTTAAATCAGAAAAGGTAAAGTTAATATTTAAAACAGTCATCAAGGCACATTTTCTATTTACTTTAAAGGCTTAAATGGCAGACATTTTAGGTCAATTAGTTAACCTAAATCATAGTCCCGCTATGTAAAATAAATTTATATCCAGTTTTCATTAAACAAAAATGTCTAATGTGATTAACTTATGTAATCTTTTAAGATAACATTAATGATAGAAGGTTGTCCTTAATATAATAATGAAAAGTTGCAAGAAGCGCAAAGTACCTAAAAATATTTTTAATTTTGTTTTATAAGAATTATTAAATTAACAATAAAAAAAAACATTTTTTAAAACTAGCTTTTATTTTAATGCGCAAAAAAGAAAAAAATCTTGTTGACCGGTGACAAGATGTCCCATTTGGATCTAGCCCTGGACGCCACATACAAAAACCAAGTCATGGTAAATTTTAGAAAGAGCTAATTCGTCAATTTTCGTCTGGAGCCAATCCTAGATGGAGAATCAGGTCATAATTATCATAAATAGTTATTTTTATCTGAATTGAACCAACATGTAAAATTTCAACTCGGTAGGATAAGAGGAGTGGATTTAATTCAATTTTCATGGTTTAACCTATACAGACATACCAACTAACAAACATTGCAAGTTAAATAAAACTTATAAAAAAATCTAATCACATTTTTTTATTATGAACATTATTTAAAAATAACAAAAATAAATATCACATTATAATGTTTTTAGGTATTAAAAATGAAAGAAAATCCATATCGCATAATATTTATTTATTTATGTATGTATCTCAAACGGTGTTTTTAGTCCAAATTATAAAGTACAGTAATAGGGCTCTACTTGAACCTCTCCCGATTTGGAGTGCTTCTCCAAATTACTTTATTTTATCTTGAATTCGGTTATTTTCGCAGTTCTAAGATTATGGCACTTGAAGAAATTTATTAACATTTTATTAAAGTTCCTACATTTCTAATAAATATAATATTCCTAATTCAAAATTAAAGCATAGATAAATCAAAATATTTTACGTTCCTATATAGGAACCAATAGTAAAATATTTTGTTACTCATTGATTGCTTCAACTTTTTAACCGACTTCCGAAAAGGAGGAGGTCTAATGTACCTCTGTATATAGTTTTTTTTTAAATATGTTAACGTAAAGAGTAAAGACAGCTTAAACGAATTTCTTAGTTTAAATTTTCTTTTAAGGTAGATCACGAGGTAGTCCCCTAAAATTTTCTTTAACATAACGTTTTTGAGAAAATTAGAAAACACCTTGAAGTTTCAAGTACAGATCAAATTATTATTTTTACCTACTTCTAATTGTCATATTAACTGGGAACTTTGCAAATGTTTGCATTTCTGATAATATTAGAGTAATCGTTGTTAAATAAATTACTATCATCGAGCTTATGCGATGGTGAAGCCAGAAAGAAGGTGGATAATGGAACTCTTCAATTTA